TGATTGGACGTTCGTTTGGTGAACAAATTTTCTTTAACGGAGAGTCTCCAGACTGATCTGCGAGTGAAACCTTGAAAGCTCGCGAGATCAGGATGGTCTCATGAGGCTAAAGCCTAGCAACCTTTGCAGCCAATAGAAGGACGGCCTCAGAAAGGGTGCGCTTGCTTTCTACCACTGAGTTTGCATGAAGCTCAGACCTCCTAGAAACACTGTTGGTAACAAACCAATAATCGATCATACTGGAACGTTTCCACCTTTAATCTCAAGAATTTGACATAAAAACAAAGGTGCAGAGGAGAGAAACTGACCTGGTTGCATAAAGTGATGACCTTTGACCTCCTGTTTTAATGATGTCATCGCCCGGTCTTGTCGGAGTATCATCCTAAGCCGCTTCAGGTTCTATCTGGTTTAGTTCTAGACCCACGGGGCTGCTTAAACAATCAGAACCGCCTGACCAGAGCATGATGCTGCCACCACCGTGTTTGTTCACTTTCTGTGAGCGAAGCCCAAAGGTTCCAGTTTCACTGAACCACGACTCGTTCTGCAACAAGGTCTAGTTTTTAGTCTCGTCTGCTTCTCTTAACTGATCCCTTTAAGAGATAAGCTCCTCCTCCTGTAACGTCTCTGCAGACTGCGGATAGCTCTGGGGTCTGTTCAGCTTTTTAGAAAAATAAAAATGCTTTTCCCAAGTAGTAAACTGAGCAGTTTGATAAAATAAATCAGCTGCTCCACCTTAAATCGACCTAAACCCATCAAATAGAAGCACAGCGAATCAGCTCCAGCTGCATAAAGAGAACAAAGTCAAACAAAATCATTAAGACACTGTGAATCAGTTTTAGTTTTTATAGTCCGGCCAATTGGATCACCCGACTGCGATGATGTCACTGCTTAAAGGAGCCCAGTAATGTTATATCTTAGAAATCAAACTAAATTTCATGAATCTCTTTATTTTTTCATGAAGATAAAGACATAGATTGTTGTTGTTAAAAAACTAGCTTTATTTAATTCCTCCCGTCTTGCAGGTGACTTAAATTAAAATAAAATGAAACTCAAGCATAGAAATCCTGTAAAACACAATGTTTCCTGCTAGCAAGACTAATATCGCTAACTGAAGCTAAAGAAATGACAAAAACTAGAAAGTAAAAACATTTTTAACTGAACTAAAAACAAAAACTAGATCCTTAAAAAAACTTGGTGATATTGTAATAAGAATTAAAAAAGGATTCAAACTAAATAAAGGTGCTTAGTTTTCATTTGTGTCTTTATCAAATCTGTTCATTCAATTCTATTCAGTTTATTTCTATAGTTCAGAACAAATAATCTCAGGTCACTTTCCAGTTTAACCAGATCATCCAGTCGGATTGATTCAAAGTTTTCTATCTAAGGAAAACCAGCTGATTGCATCGACTCATTGACTCTTCAGCAATCCCTCACACTAAGCATG